ACGTTCTTATATACAGTAGATAGAGAGATAACTTTATTTGCAGACACAAACAAAAAAAACACAAAATAAAATAAACAACAGACAATAAAAACCTTAAACTTTCAAGAGGCAGTCAAACCAATGATTCCAAAGCAGCGACATGTAACGTACCTCGCTGCACTTCAACAATGGACAATAAAAAAATCACAGCATTTTTTAAATTGAGAGAGTGTTTACTCGAGTGTTTACTCGATTTGATACAAAGAGTTCACTGGCTCTTGTCCATCTGGGCTCTTTTAATAAAATTCTCAGCGCATCATTGTAAGCAACTGTAAGTTTCTGAAAGCTGGATTTTTTGTAATTGACCCACAGATGTGCTGTGTACAGAGATGAGCAGTAAGCTCCAAACAGAGCTACTTTCACCTGTACAGAGCAGGAGGAGAATTTCCGAGACAGGGTGTTTGCTTGTGCACATAAAATCCGGCACTGACGATACATGTCCTCGTCATCGGTCAAATGGTCAGTTATGATGTGACCGAGGTACTTGACCGCATCACACACAGTCAAGATGTTCCCTGAGAGCATAAAGTCAGGAAACTTCAGTGACCTCCTTTGTCCTCCTTAGTCCGGCAGATCATGATCACACTTTTAGTGGAGTTGTATTTTACATCCTGAAGTTCCCCAAACTCAGAGCAAACATTTAACAACTGCTGGAGACCGGCTGAACTCGGGCTAAACACCAGGTCGTCTGCATACATCAAGTGATTAATTAAAGCACCACCAACCATACAGCCAGTTTTGCACTTATTCAGCTGCCTGGACAGGTCAAACATATAGAAATTAAAGAAATATAGAGATTATATATTTCTCTTGTATTTATTATTGTTTAAAATTGATAAATAGATTTTAGTTGTCCCCTAAACTTTAGCTGTCCCATTGTAATACCAAATAAAGTTGTATGGCTCCACCTTTTGTCTGTTTGGACATATTAGTATTTTATTAATGTCTGTTTTATATTTTAGTAGAAACCTAAAGGGCTACTATATTATTTCCATGGAAATAGAGCTGGCTAACACCTGTCATTTTGATGGTGATGAGTACTTTTCTATATTAAATATGCCTTCCTCCAACCACTTGATTAATCAATCTTAAATGAATTTATTGTGACACATGTTTATATGTAGTGTACTGTTTTGAAATAACATTCAATTTGATATAACTGTGTGTATTTGTTGTGTTCTCTGTTCTCTTTGTGGCTACAAAGCTGCCTTGAAATAACAGATAAAATGGAAAGAGAAGAAATCAATGTCTCCTGTGTTGGATAAATGCATAGAGCTGGCAGTGTGGGGCACTAAGAGGGTAATCTCTGAACAACAATAGCGGGGGCTGACACAGAGGCAGTAATCTGGGCTGGACCAATGCTATTCTTAAACAGTGTGTTGTGCTGCTCTCAAATCACGGTGTAAGCTGTGGTACGGTAATGATCCGCTTTCTCTGGAGGCTAAGCAGCACAGTCCAGGGACCTGACGTCTGCTGTAGTGTCACTCAAATATGCTTAAGTCATCTGAGGTCTCAATCCTCCCATCCTCACCGTTTCTGAAAGAGTTTTGGAGTTGACAGTAGTGTTCCGTTGCGAGTCTTCTTTTGGTAAAATGGTTTACTCTACAATTTAACTTTTCCAAAACAAAAACGTAACATTGAGGTCCCAGAAGCCACACACAAAAGACTTTATACAGTGCCTTGCGAAAGTATTCGGCCCCCTTGAACCTTTCAACATTTTGCCACATTTCAGGCTTCAAACATAAAGATATAAAATTTAAATTTTTTGTCATGAATCAACAACAAGTGGGACACAATCGTGAAGTGGAACGAAATTTGTCGGATAAATTAAACTTTTTTAACAAATAACAAACTGAAAAGTGGGGCGTGCAATATTATTCGGCCCCTTTACTTTCAGTGCAGCAAACTCACTCCAGAAGTTCAGTGAGGATCTTTGAATGATCCAATTTTGTCCTAAATGACTGTTGATGATAAATAGAATGCCCCTGTGTGTAATCAAGTCTCCGTATAAATGCACCTGCTCTTTGATAGTCTCAGGGTTCTGTTTAAAGCGCAGGGAGAACCATGAAGACGAAGGAACACACCAGGCAGGTCCGAGATACTGTTGTGGAGAAGTTTAAAGCCGGATTTGGATACAAAAAGATTTCCCAAGCTTTAAACATCTCAAGGAGCACTGTGCAAGCAATTATATTGAAATGGAAGGAGTATCAGACCACTGCAAATCTACCAAGACCCGGCTGTCCCTCCAAACTTTCATCTCAAACAAGGAGAAGACTGATCAGAGATGCAGCCAAGAGGCCCATGATCACTCTAGATGAACTGCAGATAACTACAGCTGAGGTGGGGATGGTGTGTTCAGGGTGATGAGCTGTGTTGCTTTTACGCCAAACATATCGTTTTGCATTGTGGCCAAAAAGTTTGATTTTGGTTTCATCTGACCAGAGCACCTTCTTCCACATATTTGGTGTGTCTCCCAGGTGGCTTGTGGCAAACTTTAAGAGACTTTTATTGGATATCTTTGAGAAATGGCCACTCTTCCATAAAGGCCAGATTTGTGCAGTGCACGACTGATTGTTGTCCTATGGACAGACTCTCCCACCTCAGCTGTAGTTATCTGCAGTTCATCCAGAGTGATCATGGGCCTCTTGGTTGCATCTCTGATCAGTCTTCTTCTTGTTTGGGATGAAAGTTTGGAGGGACGGCCGGGTCTTGGTAGATTTGCAGTGGTTTGATACTCCTTCCATTTCAATATAACTGCTTGCACGGTGCTCCTTGAGATGTTTAAAGCTTGGGAAATCTTTTTGTATCAAAATCCAGCTTTAAACTTCTCCACAACAGTATCTCGGACCTGCCTGGTGTGTTCCTTTGTCTTCATGGTTCTCTCTGCGCTTTAAACAGAACCCTGAGACTATCAAAGAGCAGGTGCATTTATACGGAGACTTGATCACACACGGGTGCATTCTATTTATCATCATCAGTCATTTAGGACAACATTGGATCATTCAAAGATCCTCACTGAACTTCTGGAGTGAGTTTGCTGCACTGAAAGTAAAGGGGCCGAATAATATTGCACGCCCCACTTTTCAGTTTTTTATTTGTTAAAAAAGTTTAAATTATCCAACAAATTTCATTCCACTTCACGATTGTGTCCCACTTGTTGTTGATTCATGACAAAAAATTCAAATTTTATATCTTTATGTTTGAAGCCTGAAATGTGGCGAAATGTTGAAAGGTTCAAGGGGGCCGAATACTTTCGCAAGGCACTGTACAATGAAACTGCTCTGAAAGAGAAGCTTGCGGCTCAAATATACACCAATTGTCAACACCTTCAACGTATACATGGGTTTTGAATTGAAATCAAAATATTGTTTATTTTGAAGTGGAAAAAGTCCTAAAATGTTCCATAAAGCAGGAAGCTGAACCCTATGTTTAACTTTTTAGCCTCAAGCATTTAGCTTTTCGCAAAGGTCAAATTATTACTGTAAATGCAACAAAGTGAACTCAACACTCTCAGAAGCAATGCATCAAGTAGTCACAATTATCCTCTTAATCTTACTTAAAACCGTAATTTCGCAAAAATATATAATTAGTATGGAAAGTGGCTGAACACTTTCTGAAGGAGTTAGAGGAACTAATATATATATATATTTATTATATATTATATAATTTGTGTTTTTTCTCTAGCTATTGGCTGGGCTTCCATGAGCTTCTATCTTAGCCACTTCATTTCAGGTGTATTGCTCTTGGTTCTTTACAAATATTGGACTATTAAGCATATAATTAGTTTGAAGTATAATTTCGGACTTTTTGACGCTATCACAACATCTATTCAAAACAAGCAGTGTTGAGTTCTCCCACTGTCAAGCTGGGGAACTTTCAAGTCACTATCTCTTAAAATCTATGTAACTAGTCCGTTGCTCTGAATGAATGAATGAATGAATAATTTTATTTCAAGCAAGCAAGCATGAGCATGACACAATGTCACAATAACAAAACTTAAATTCATAAACGTTATAGTAAACAATATATATTAACACAGATTACATTATTTATTTATTATTATCATTATTATTATTATTTTTTTTTTTATTATATTTTTATTTTTTTTCCTTAACAATAAAGTAATGCTCTTTGCTTGAAAGGGAGTGAGAAGAAGTGAAACACTTGTTTACTCCCACCCCCAACTACAAAATAAAACTAAATACTGGATACCGTCCTGTACAACATAAAATTACAACAAAGTTTTACATTATACTCTGTCGGTCAGATAAATACATAAACACGTGCAAATGCACACATACATACGCACATATATTTAAATATACCTGAGTACACGTACATATATACATACACACACATCCATATACATGTACACATACATATATACTAACACGCACAATCGACACACATATAATGCTTTTATAAGACAATAAAATAGACCTATATTCTCTTAGTCTACTTTTGTTTTTAAGTTGGAACCTAACACTATTTAGAACGTTTCATCTAATTTGTATCTCATTAATATAATTTCTTTGTATTTAGATTTGAATTTCCAAAGTACTGTGGACTGTTTGAGGTCGTCCCCCAAACCATTCCAGAGCCGGACCCCACGTACCGACACACACATACTCTTCCGTGTCGTTCTCACGGCTGGAACTTTAAAGATATTAGAACCCCTTAAATTGTGTTTTCCCTGTCTTATTTGAAAAAGTAATTGAATTTTTTTTGGCAGTTTATTTTTACTTGCTTTGTACAATAACTGTGCTCTCAAAGCGGTTTGGTTCTATCTCTTGCTTTTACATGTATTTTTGGCAAGTTATGTAAGCTATGCCAAACAGCTCTGAGTCTCAGCCAAACTTGGCATATAGTGACTCACTAGGCCTTTGTCGGGTGAATCTTTCTGTTGGGACAAACAGAATGTAATACCCTTGCATTAACTTCCATTTCTGTTTCTCTTCCAGTTCGAAGCATACGTTTACGAGGGCTCGACTGGAGTGGTCGTCAACCTGACAGTGGACGACCGCGACGACCCAGCAACGGGGGCGTGGAGAGCCATCTTCTCTGTAATCAGCGGGGATCCCACCTCCAGCTTCGAGATCCAGACAAACCCAGACGACAACGAGGGAATGCTCTCAGTTGTCAAGGTATAGCTGAACGCAGACATACTAATACCTTCCATTTGCTAAAACAGTTCTATGTAATTAGAATCTTAATCACTTCAATCCAAGCGTGGAGGTATACTTATGTGTCTCTCTTTGTTTCTCTCTATGTATCTGTCATTAGCCTTTGGACTATGAGGCCAGGGGGTTCCACACGCTGCTCATCAGAGTGGAGAATGAAGATCCGTTAGTAGCAGAAGCTGGATATGGCCCTAGCTCCACAGCAACAGTCCATGTAACAGTGTTGGACATCAACGAAGGCCCTGTGTTCTTCCCGGACCCTCTCATAGTCACCATGATGGAGAACATCCCAGTGGGCAGCTTTGTGGCTTCACTCAACGCCACAGATCCGGACATTTTACAAGGACAGAGTATCAGGTAAGAACAGGACCATAGAGTCATGTGATCTGCATAGTTTGTGTCTCGACATTCAAATGTGTGGTTAAAAAAGCTGTACGTGTGTAAATTACCAAACAGCAAGATTATGTTTAATTCAGAATTGTTGCTTTAACCTCTTGGCATCAGTTGTATATAGACAACAACAAAAAACACATTAAAAACTTTTGTTCTAAACCAAGACACTGTATCAACTTACAGTATTATAATATAAAGCATTTGGCTCAGTATGAGGTTAATCACTGTGATACCATTCTGCATCACCCACTGTGCTGAATGCTTTTCCATGTACACAGTGTTGTCTTTATAAGCCATACAAGACTGGTTACGCACTTGAACTATATAATCTAGAATATAGTTGGCAAATAAACTCTAAACAATTTAAAAAATCTAGTATTGCTTAATTACTAGCTTCTTTACATTTAAGGTAATTAAGCTTATTTACATTGTTGTCTTCTTAAAATAGCCTCCTAAGCCTTAAACATAAGAAGACAAAATTACCTTGTTACATTTAAATGATATATTAATTGAATGAAGTCATGATTCAGGTCTGTGGAGAGGCAAGCCCTTTCATAGTAAAAGGTTACAGATACAGTGTTACACTTTTTAATAAATTCCTTCATGTTTTTCATTACAATGTGCAGCATCGCTTTCTCGAAGTTGTAGTATCATTGTTGAGAGTCATAGACAAGCACCTGTTGCCTGTTATTTCTGACACTGTCTAAGGAATTTTGCTCATTTGTTTTACCATTTACTGCATGGAATCGTTCACTCTGGATCCGTGGAGTCACCCGCACATTTACTTTGACATAACAACAGCAATAGAGTAAACTTGTAGAGGCTATTAGTTTCATTGTGCCACACTATTGTACAACAAACTTTAATTCCTCCATTTTATGAGCAAAAATGCTGTTACGTATGCCTATTTACTCCAAATGTGTATTGGGGAAAAGATAACAAGAGCTGAATAATGATCGTGCCACATAAAAAGCATCGGGTCGTCTTTTTGGTGTAGTTATAAATGATGGTGCTGTGTGTGTGCAGCTTTATGATGAGGAGAGCCAACTCTGTGTAGGAGGTATAAGGCCAGACCAATGAAGCAGTTAGAATTTCATAAGGTCACCCTAAATTGCCTTCCAGGGCTACAGTTGTGTAAATAAATCAGCTTGTTAGTCAAATGCGATGAGCTTTTAAACGTCTATGCACTTCTTCCAGCTTGGGTAAAGGGTAATATTGTGAGAGACATATTGTTGCAGTATTTTTGAAAATCTGATTTCTGACTCATATTTGGTTAGCAAGATTCATAGCAGAAATGGTAAAGCAACAATTGAAAATGGCTGGCATTGGCTTGGGAAATTAAAAAATGGCCCCACAAATTTGCAGGGTAATTCCTTATCCTTATACATCCAGGAGCAATCCATCACGGAGATAGTTTGATGAATTGTCACCTGGACTGGGTTTGGACTCGCATCCGGGCGTCATTTTCTTATTTCAGGATTGGTCTGCGAAGTGGAAAAGGTAAACTGCCGTGTGCCCAGTCCTGCCCAGAGGGGATAGAAAGCTCTGAAATGTTCTTGTCTTTAATTGATTGTTATTGCTTTCTCAAACCCAAACTGATGGTAGACACTACTTCCAAGTTGTGCATGACTGAGGAAGAAATAAAGATATTGTATTTGTATAGCACATTTCATACATGACTGCAACGATGTGCAGTGCAAGCAGCTATGCAACAAATAATAATAATAGTTTTTATATAGCGCTTTTCTGGACACTCAAAGACGCTTTACATGTCACTATTTTTTCACTCCAAACACGGTGGTGATAAACTACTACTGGAGCCACAGCTGCCCTGGGGCACACTGACAGAAGCGAAGCAACCATTGTGTGCCATCGGCCCCTCCGACCACCACCAACCATTCACACACACATCTGACTCATTCTAGGCAATGGGGGGAAGTTTCTTGCCTAAGGACACAACGGCAGTTTGGCACTTTACAGCCGCAGCCGCCCCACTGTGGCTGGTGTTCCCTGAGGTTAAGTGTCTTGCCAGGGACACAACGACAGCAGACAGTGGGAGTTGATGGAGAAAGTCTATTGAAAGTCTTGGGCTCGAACCCACAACCTTCTGGCTCAAAGGCCAATGTTCTGCCAACTGAGCTACTGTCGCCTACAAATCAACATGATGCTTTCCATGTTCTGTCCAAGTCTCTCCTTTGACCAAGGTGTGAAGACACAGCAGACACACAGTCCAGTAGTTCTGTTTAAGGATGATCTCTCTCTTTTTACAAGATGCGCTCCCTCTCATATCCTTCTAACCAGCCCCATTCCCTGCTCAGAAAAATGTCTGCAATGAGAAATGTGTTTGTGGATTTTCTAACACAATGATTTAATTCAAATTGATTTAACCGGGACAGTCTCACTTAGATTTCAAAATAGTTTTTTCAGAGATGCCGCATCCCAGAGAAGAGGAGCGTTCAGTGCATGTTTTTTGTAATAGGAGGAAACCGGAGCACCCAGAGGAAACTGACACAGACACAGGGGGACATACACACGCCACTGAGAAAGGCCTTGTGCTGTCTGAAAAGTTTGAACCCAGGATCTTCTTGTGAGAGCACTTACCTCTCAGCATAATACTGCCCAATATCTATAAACCGAATTAGAATAATTTTAAGCATAGAAAGGAGATATCTCCAAATGTATGATGTTGTTTGGTGTTGTTGGCCATTGGTCTACTCATGGTTGGTCTACCCTAATGAATGCAGAGTGAAAACCAGCAACTAAAAGTTTGACTGTAAACATTGAGTCTAAGAGGGATGGATAAATTGAAATCTTGACATTGTCATGTCCTGTCATTTTTTACGGCAGAGGCTAGAGGCTGGTTGCTGTTTGACAACTAGACGCAGAGAATGGAAATAAGAGAGCAGGGAAAGTGAAATGTTGTAATTCATGCTGTGTTGTTTTTGTTTTCCATTCTCTTCGCTTGGCTCCCTCTTCAAATCACGTTGTCTCCCATTTGGCACTCAAAGTACATGTGGAGAAAGTCACAATGTAGACAATGCATTCAAATGGGATACGAACCATCCCAGGATCCGCCTCTCGTGGTCGTCCATTCCTAATTCAATATTTTACTCTTTAATTGTCATTCAATTTGTTTTCTAGTGTTATGCTGCATCCTTCACAATGGCTGCCCTATCTTTTCTAACGTTGTTTTTACTTCTCTCAAGCGTGGAGTCCATTTGTATTTATTCCATCTCGTCTGACAAACTTGTCATTTCATCCAATGTCATTTTCTGAGTTTGAAGTGTTGCTCGTTGACAGTAAACCAACATCAGGTCGAGGTGCAGAGTTGGATCAAATGTGTTGCGAATACCAAGCAGGGGAGCAGCAGGAGAGGACGGGATCCACACACTGCCCTATTGTCAGCCTAGTGCGACTCAGCTGTTTGTTGCGTGTCTCTTGAGGGATGGGAAGGTCAAATGGTGACACAGGCTGAAGCATAAACTGTCAAATACAAATGTTTGGATCAGGAGGAATGTATAAAAAAGTATATGGGTTTGTGCACACACACACACACACAAAATAGTGATTATGAGTTTTAAGCCTCGCTCTTTGAAGGCATTGAAACATCTTGTGCTGAGGTTTTTTACCAACAAAATGACTGAGAAAATGGAAGATATGATGTAGAATGGTTCAAAGCTGATTGTTGTGAGTTCATGGATAGAATTTTCCTCAGGATTTTTCTCTAAAATGTGATTATGGAGAGGAGCCTCTGATGCAGATCTGGTCCCTCTGTTCCCAGTGTACAGCAGCTTTCCTGTCAGTCACAAAAGCAGTCTTTAGGCACCGCAGAAGTGCAAGAAGCTTGTGTTTGTTGTTCAAGACGTGAGGTAGAACGCCAGGGGTTCGTTATCTCATTGAAAGTGTAGGAAATAGCTTTTTGCAATACTCTTATACAGACTCTTATGCAAATACTCTTAACTTTCAAACATCTATGTGAATTAAGTGGTAGCTCTGACTGCCACCTCACAACCCAGAAATGGATTAAGGGGAAGAAAATGGATGGATGGAAGGTGACACAACACAGAGACCGATTTGAAGTGGATACCAATGCTTCTTAATAAACTTTCAGCAGCGTTCGTCTCAAGTGCAATATGTTTTGTTTGTCATACTCTCTGCCAGTATAACTTTTTTAAATATATTTGTTGTTTTTTGCCTTTTTAACATGAATACACACACTATCATTTTGTTCAAAATTTCTCAAATAATGATTAACAATAATTCTACCAAAAGTGTGTATGGTATGTGTTTTTAAGTAAGGGAATTATTTCAGTGTTATTATACTAGTACCTATAATTTTACTCTTTCGCCACGCAATATCTCTGTGTGAATTTGAATTTACTCCTTAAGTATTGAGTTTTTTTCTTTTTAAATATTGAAAAATAAAACTAAATCAAATCAATAACTAGTTGAAAGCAATACACCACTGAGCAGTTGAGATGAGTGAATATACTTTCTGCTAGTCCTTCTCCTCAGAACAGTGACACTCTGGGATCCAGCTGGATTTGCTTGATCAGGTCCACTCTGGAGCCTTTTGGCAGTATTAGGCCACTAAGCCCTATTTGCACAGCGCCATTGTTATGTGCAGTTCTCCAGTGATTTATTATAATAATTGCAGAGGCCATAAACCTATGCAAATCAGCCGTGTGTGACATTTGTGGATCAGTTGACCCACAAGGAAACTCCGGCTTCATTCAAATAGGATTAACATTCAAATAAAGGGACAAAATTGAGGTTTGGCTTCAGTATAAATCAGAAAATAACTTCACATTATTGGGCTTGAGTAAATACAATTAACAAATAAATCAGGTAATGTTTGGTCTGAGTTTTCGATGTTGCGGAAATGTCCATTTCTCACAGCTTACACATGAAAGATTTGTGATATTTTACACACACATAAATACACATTGGGGAGGTTCAAAGCAATTTCCACTTATTCACCTATATGGAATACTATCAGCCACATTTTCTGTGTGTTTATGTAGACCTGTTTACATATTATGCATGAAAAAACACATTTTCTTGCATGTCTTTAGCCTAGAGCCTTGCAGAAATAGGTCTCTTTCATCAGCCATGCAAGAAGCTCACTTCTACCTTGACTCTGTACTTTTATCAAGAGGGCATTGAGAGCTCTGTAGGGGGAAAAACAAATAAATAAAAAGTTTTAAAATAAATCAAATGCGATGCGCTCAGACCCAACACTTTGAAGTAGCCAAGACTTAGGTTGAGCTAAAACATTCTGTCTTTAATGATCTGCTCCAGTCTCCTTCCTCATTCTCTTTCAAAAGCAGCGTGATGAGAAGGAAGAACTCTTGTAATTAAACCTGAAGATAAAAAGGCGCATTTCAAACATCAGCGTTGACACCACTGAACAGAACTATGAATAGGGGCTGCTTTTGAACAGTTAAGTAGCGTTAATTACAACAATGCTGTGGGCTAGAAAGAGCTATCGTTTTAATTTACCTTTTGTAGTCACACATGGAACAACAACTGAAGTCCTATTATCTGTCACTGCTCACAAGACTTCACTGAGACTGGTGTGTGTCTGTGTCTGTGTGTGTCTGCGTATGGGTATGTGTGTGCGTCTGTCTGTGTCTGAGTCTGTGTGTGTGTTTGCGTGTGCATCTGTGCGTGTCTGTGTATGGGTATGTGTGTGTGTCTGTCTGTGTCTGTGGTTGAGTCTGTGTTTGTCTGTGTATGGGTATGTGTGTGCGTCTGTCTGTGTCTGAGTCTGTGTGTGCGTATGTTTGCGTGTTTGTGTGTGCGTCTGTGTTTGTGGCTGTGTCTGTGTGTGTGTCTTTGTGCATCTATGTCTGTTTGTCTCTCTGTGTGTGCGTCTGTCTGTGTCTGTCTGAGTCTGTGAGTGTGTCTGTCTGTGCGTCTGTCTGTGTGTGCGTCTGTCTGGATTGCACTACTGTAATGCAATCCAGACATTATTGTCTGGATTGTTGTTGTGGTGAATGTGATTGTGTGTGATGTGGAAGTTTGAAAAATCCGGTATATTCCTAGTGTCCGACTTGATCTCCTATCATTAACCTCAATATATGATACATAAAGGAGAAAAATAAGATTCTGGACTTTTCACTTTTATTCATAATTCTTAAACTTCAGTCTTGTTGTTCTTTCTGTTTTTTTTTGTTTTTTTTGTTTTTCCAAACCAATCCCTATTTCGGTCACAGCAGGACTTCTTAAGACTCTTATATACAGGCAGCATGAATAACTTCCATTGTTTCCTGTCAGGTTATGACAACAATGTGCTGATACTGTCCTCAAAAAAGAACGATGGGTAACTTTATGAGTTTCACTTTTGTTATAACTTTTTCTTTAAAATGGAATGTGTGTAAGAATTAGCAAAGTTTACTCAGCTGTGTTTTATACCCAGTCTTAAAGCTCCTCTCTCTTCTGCCCACTAAGCCGGAGAGAAAAGAAACACATAATCCAAAGTGTCATTAAGAAAGTTTTCCTAATTGAATGTGCTTTCGTTCTCGGCGACGCGGCCATCGAGCAACTATTTGCACCAGTAATTAATGCCTGATGTTGAACGAGCTTGTTCATCACATTAAAGTTATTATCTTTATCATATCAGTCCATGGACATTACTGAGAATAGATGGTTAAGAAAAAGAAGTCCGCTGAAAAGGTCTCCGTAGGTAACGCAATGATTTCAATGTATTTGTGTATAGCCCTAAATCACAACAGTAGTTATCACAGAGGACTTTACAAAACTGTCGTTTCGCCGACACAGATCAGAGAATCATACACAGAAAATGCAATGATACAAAACACATATAGCCATTGGTCCATAAGGGTTAGACGACCAATGTCCATAAATGTTGATAAAGTCCATAAAGGTGATTGAATTTCATTAGCCATTCATTAATTCACTCATTCAGACTCTTACGGAAAGTCTGCAATGTCTAAAATGTGCTGTATTGGCTTTGATTTTCACTAAAACACTGTTAAATCTGGGATACCTAACTCCCAAACCAAAATAGTTTAAGATGTTTTGTTATAATCGATCAAACGACTGCAGCCCCTCGCTCTTGGATCCATCACTAGTTCTTTGACTCTAAGCCTTCCAAAGGGAACTTCAAGCCACTTGCTATAACCGGCTCTAAATGAAATATCCATTGACAATTGAGCAGACTGTCAGCAAAAAATAAAAAAATGAGGCGAGCAGTAGATGTAACAATCTGCCATGTGTTTTCCCCCCAAATAGGCCAGTTGCCAAAAAATAAAAGTTTCTAAAGTTTTGCCACGGTTTAGCATTCCCCGTGGTATTTTCCATTACTGTGTGGATGCCTGCAGATTCACTTTGTGCTGAGATGTGAGTGAGTTTATACACCGTGCTGCCTCACCTGTGCATTTAGCCGGAACTGAGAGGTCGACAGGCTGCCCTCCCCCACTTCCACCAAACACATTTAAGTTGTTTTCTACTCCCTTGCTTTGAAAATCAAGAGATTTAGAACAGTCCCATCATCCATTATTCACCAGATACCTGTCTGCTCACTCTGGTCATATTCAAGTTAAAAGCGGAGGGACGTACAAGCGGTGAGGATGAGAAGAGTCGTCTGCGGTGAGAGCTCTGTAGGTGCTTGGAGACTGAAGGTAAAAGGGAAAGACTGACAGGTTGGACTGGAGGCTGGCTCATAGTATCTGCATACAAAAACTAAAACAATAAATAAGACAATAGCATAGAAAAAGGTCACATTTACACATTCACACTTCGCAATAATAAATACTTTGTGTCTCTTAAAAACAAAACAAAGTGAATTGACTGTGATTAAACTGATTTTTCTTCCATCTCTCTATTCAAGGCAGGTCCAGAGACTTGCTGAGACCAAAAGGTGACGTTCTTCTCATGCTGAGCTCAAAATGGCTCCCATTTGGACAAAGATTTTTATAGTAAAGCAATTGTTTTGTTCCTGCTGGAAATTTATAAAATTTGTCAGTTTCCTTACTTGCTTACTTGGAAAGAGAAGGAAAATGCTGTCAGTTTTAAAACATGAACACAGATTAGCCCCGCCCTAAACACTTCCTGATTAGGCGCAGTTAATTGAAATCCCGGACAGCTGTGGCCCCATGGCACACACTGCTTGCCTTGCTTTTGTCAGTGTGCCCCAGAGCTGCTATGGCTACAGCAGTAGAGTCCAGTATTACAGCTTTCCAACAAACAACACAGTGATCAATATAATACTGCGACCCTAACCTTTTAAACGCATAGAGTGTTTAAAGTCATAAAGATGCCATTTTGAAGACATTTTACCAGCTTTACACAATATGTAATGTGTATGTAACTAAAATTATTTGAAAGGGTTTTTCAGGAGTACATTCCAATTATAGGGGGACGCACATCCAAAATCCTGTGTCTGTGTGCGGATTTATAACTATGGTCTATTACTCATGTACTTCTTACATGAGTGTTGTCAGCTAAATCCTTCACAGTGAGCTGATACAATCAATTATAGACAGTGCAAACTTGCTAATTACCGTAAACACGCTGTGCTGATAAGAGAGGATAATCTTTTGACAACAATTGCCCAGCTTGTTATTGTAATCCCACAGTGTTCAAATATTTGATTAAACAACAAACAGCAAAGAATAGAGCTGAGGTGATTATTTTATGACCCGATATTCCCTCTGAAGTGTTGAGTGAAGCGGGGAGCTGTCCATGGTGCTAGCTCGATTTGTCCCACTGCTTATATTTGGATTATAGGCTGTCTGTTCATCTAACTGACTAACCATGATGCTTTTAGCTCATGGATTACGCCAAAGTTATACAAATACATGCATCAATTGAATATAGCATTGCACACAAACATCTTTGGTAAAATATTTCTCGAATAAGCACGTGACCACTGTAGCTAACTGCAGTGGTCACATGCTTATTCTATTCATTATCTGTAAAGTTCATAGATAAATAGTCAATCAGATGTTCAGATGTAGGTCATTTCTTATTCATGCTGCTGACGGAAGACTTGCCTGGTTAATAGTGTCAGAGGAAAGAGGAAGAGTCCAATGAAAGCATAGAGTGTGGGTCGAGGGAATGTTTAGTCCTACGAGTTTGCCAGGAAATAATTAAAGCAATATAAAAGATGCCAGAGCTACAGGCAGAGGAGTGATATCCTCCTCTGCAGAGGCAAATAGCTTTTACTACTGTTAATTACTGGGTTATGGTTCTCAACTGATGCAAAGAGCTGCTACTTTGCACTCTTATTATGAATGATAGCTTTTTGTCATGTTACTCAAGCTTGATAATCTATGAAAATGAAGCTTGGTGACGACGCCTGTCTCTGGTGTGTATTCCAAATGCAAATGAGTCTCTGAACCGTGTACGTGTTCTCCGTGCGTCAGAAGATTGGTCCTGCTCTCAAACCACAAGTTCTTGGAAAATAACAGTCCAAAGCAGTTTTTCGTTTTAGACATTGATTACCTGTGGTCTGGTCCTCCCTGCTGCTCTGTTAGGTCCACACAGCAGGCCTTTGTTCTGTGAGCTCAATGTAGTTTGTGTTGCTGAGTGGAGTTGGCAGTGAGCCTCTTGTACGCTTTACTCACAACAGACTGAGCAGCATTGTACCTTCCTTTAAGCCGAAATCCAATATGACTCTTTTCCTTTGATTCTAGGAAAGGGCAGTTTGGAGTTTTATTTTTTTGCTTGAGGCAGTTGACATAGAATCTCTCTTGTAAAGGTGCAGGACAAATTTAGAATTGATATCAGTAATTTGCTGAAAAATTAAGGAATCCTATTATACAGCACATTTTGTGGACCAAGCTCATGCAAATCTCTTTATAATGTGTTTTTTTAGCACTGATATTTTCAGTCCACACACACAGCGAAAATAGAAGCGAGACATGAAACCCTGTTGGCATGTTACAATCGCACAACAGGTGTAAATTAGCACACCTACTATAACCTGGCACAATGTATGTTATGTTTAGTGTATACTGTCCCTGTATAAACACAAATATTACATAGATTTGAAGAGAACGCCACACAGAAAGGCTCCACAACCTAGGACCTTCTCACTGTGAAGCACAAGTGTTAACCACTGCCCCACTGTGCCTTCATCTCTCATGTTTGAGCAGAAGACACCGCCACACGAACAGGTCTCACGGATGATCAAACATGTATGACTTAAACAGCATTTGATTACCCATATACTTTTAAATACAGACTGATAATTATTTTCTATTTACTAAAGCGCAAGTGGGAGCGGATTTATAAATACATTAGGAGCCTGCATGCTCAATAGGTGTGTCATGCCTTGATTGTGAAACATGTCATGACATTTTTCACGCCGGTGCATCAGACTGAACATCGTCTCCCACATTTATCACTTTCTTGACGGGTTCTGTCGCTGTGTTTGAGACTCGCAGAGCTGAGCCTGGCTGCCGGAGCTGAGTGTGACAGCTGATTGATGTGGCCTGTTTTCACGTTTGCTTTTCCGTTTTCTTTCTGCTGTCACCTCCTCCTGCTCCGGAATGAGCTGCTGCGTGTAGCTGATACCGGCCGCGTGAGAGCGCCTGCTGTGGTCACTGCATGTGCTGGCGTGAAGGGGTTATTTGTCAACATGGCCCCCGGCGATGGTCAGCCTGGGACGGCCCGCTCACTTATGATTACAGAAGCAAACCGAGGCGATGCTGGTCTCTGCAAAACAAAAGCCCAATCTGTGGGGTGTTTCAGAGTGATGTAATTTTTAACTGTTTCGATAGAGGTTCACATTTAAAAACATAATATAATTTATGTGTTTTTAAGATGAGGAGAAATTTACTCATTTGGCAAGCATAGGATCACTCAGGTTGTGCAAAAGACAGGAAATGTACAAACATGTTAAAACGTGAAAAGATAGAAATGGAAAAAAGGGTGCATGAAACGGGAAGCTAATACTTCTACATAATAAGCAACATTTTCAAACATTAGTGATAGCAATCTAAAACGAATAGAAGTGGCCGTGTACTTTTATTTAAGAAGAAGAAGGTCCTTTCTTTGTCTCACTGTGGGGAAATATTCAGTTTGATGAATGCACATACACACCTAGGCATGCAGCGAACAATACTTCCGCACTTCTTATAGGCAAAATGGGTAAAGTGTCTTGCCCAAGAACACAACATCAGCAGATATCAGTGGAGTCGGTGGAGAAGGTATTGCAGTGGGCTCTAACCATGACCTTCAGGCTCAAAAGCCAATGCTCTACCGACTTATCTACCATTACTTTTACAAAGCAAAACATTTCACTGTTCAATGAATTAAGTAAATTTATCTGGTTTGTTTAATATGGGTCCCATTGGTTGCCGCCAAAAGAGCAAATAGACAAAAACATTCACCAAAGTAGAAATATAGAAACAAATTTGAAAATTCAAACATGTTTAAAAGCAAATGGATGTAATGTATGTATTTATTTATTCCTTATGAGTTTTCTTTTCACACCCAGACGCAGACCTTCTTATAAACTCAAACCATATTTTCTCTAGCAGCTAGCCATCTGTAATGTTTCAGCTCTTTGTCATGGCAAAGAGCTGTTGTTGAAAGTGAACATCAATTGTAAAAGTTGAGGAATCTAATCAAAACTTTGAAACTTGCTACAATAAAGCTGTTTAGGCGCTGACTGCTGACTGTTATATATCAGCTGTGCTCTTATAGTGACTGAGCAACGGCTTCTTATTCAGCCTGGAGAAAGGAAATCCTTTTAGATCATTGCGGTTTCGCGATAAAATCTATACTTTGTGCAAACATTTCCAACAGAGCTCTCACCAAACACATGGTCACACAGTTATTTTACATCCCTCCCTATCGCTATTATCCATCCTTTCCTCATCTCCCTCTCAAAAGTCCCCCTTCTCTCTTCCTTCTCTCTGGTTGGAAGGTTTTGGGGATAAACGGTGGAGTGGTTCGGTCCAAGCAGCAGCCTGTTCTCTTTCAGCGCGTCTCCTGATTGATGTCCTCATATCTATTGCTCGCACACACTCAGCAACTCTCTGATTGAAACACACTATTAGCATTGGCTCAGCGCCGTCTCATTTCTCGCACTAAGTTAAGCTCACAATCACCGGAAGATCTTGCTGGCACAAGGGGAGTAAAGAAAAGTGATGGACAGATACAAACAGTGAGATAATGTGAGTGGCAGTGCATAAAAGATCTGAAAAGGCAACTAAGAGAAGAGAGATATGTTTCCGCTGTGTGCTCTTTTTTTGCCAGGAAAAAGAAGGTCCATGGGTTTGGAATCATGGTGAGCTTGAACAATGCACATGGAGATTGTGTTGGGCTTGTTTTGTTGTTTGACTAAATATTGCAAGCTTGGCCAACAGGCATTTCAATCTGCAGAGACTACAAGAGACTAAATGCGTTTAAAGATGAATTGATTGCAAGTATGTTTGTAGTTCATTAATTTGGCGTATAAGCCTTGCTCTGTGAAGATTGATGCTTGACTGCAGATTATGATCTAAAAGGATGGTGGTGGTGATCCAGGACACTCAACAGTCGACTGCATTTATGGACATTTATTAACACTTATGGACATTGATCATCTGCCCTTTATATGATCCAATACCAATGTGTTTTCTGTTTAATGTCTTGGGTTTGAACTGTTCAATTCTTTTACAAG